GACTGCCGTTGCCGCTGCGACTGTCATCGCGAATGCGACTACGACTGCGAGAACAGCAGAATTCGACAACTGGATTTTCATCTGAATCTTAAGGGGAATGCTTTCAGATATGCTTCTACACATCGCTGTTAGGTTGCTTTGCCGGGATAATTCAAATGAAGTCAGACCCCCTTCTGCCAAATAGTACGATGCGCATGCAGTCGTTCGCTTCGACGCATCATGTATCATTAGCCCCTCACCAAAACAAAAAAACAGGATGTACGCGCGCGCGCGCTCATGTCAAAGTACTCAAAACACGTGGTGCTTGCAAGCATGTCGACATACAAATAACTGAAACCCAGTGGCTGTTCATTGCGCATCTTGCCCATCTCCTTTCCGCGCGCTTTTGCTGAATATTTGGGAAAGCCATGCGCTTTGCATGAGTTCGTTCATATTCAGCGATCTCATCTTACCGCTCGGTGCACCCGCGATTCCCTGTCACGCTCCCAGAACGCGGATCCCTTGCAACAGCTATTACGCGGGCCACATACGCGCGCCGCTGCTTTCGCATACCGAAGCCATTATCGAACCATTTGTTTTCAAAGCATTTCCAGATAGAGCTCTTCAGACACACACACACACATGAAGACCGAGTGGATTTTAAAAGCATGACCGCCACTTTGCTTGAATGTCTGCGCGCAGGGGGTTCTTCATTAACCTCGTCATCGTCATCGAGATCGCGCTCTTCACCGACATGGGCATAAACATCGCCGTCGTCGTTGCCATCATCGGCATTGTGATCGGCTGTGCTGTCGCCATCCTGAGTGATCGCCGTTCGCCGTCTTCATGATTGTCGACGCTGTCGTCATCATGTCATCGCACCAGCCTGAGTCACCGACCTGCGCTGGAGCGCCCGCGCGCCAGCGCGGCCCCGAGAAGCATTTTGGGAAGTGTCAATCGTAAACCGTCACCGCGACCGCGTGAGGTTTGCCAGACAAGTTGCGGGTGGGCAGGTGGGATGATTGCGCGAGCATGGGAGGTTGACGACTCTAGCTCTCGCAAGTGAATTTCTCCTTTCTTACAAGAAATTAGATTATGCCTCCATCGACCCCCGCACTTATCGTGCCGGCCCGGCGCATTGCAAATTCTAGACGCTTCGCGTATCCCCACCAGCCCGTCCAGAAATGAGTCCCAGGGGAGTGGAGGTTATGAGGGAAGCGGGGGAGCATGCAGAAGAACAAAGGGCGGGGTGAGCCGCCATATACCCCAAGAGGGGGAGGATGTAGGAGGAGCCGTCGTCGTCGGAGTAGGAGGAGGAAGAGGAGGAGCAGGAGGAGGAGCAGGAGGAGGAGGAGGAGGAAGATAAGGAGGAGGAGATGGAGGACTGCGAGGACGAGGAGGACGAGAAGGAGGAAAAGGAAAAGGAGGAGGAGGAGGAGGAGGAGGAGGAGGAGGGGGGGAGGGGGAGGAGGGAGGAGGAAGAAAAAGAGGAGGAGGAGGAGGACAATGGCGAGCTTGGGGGCCTCTTGGGCCGTCTTTGGGGCCTCTTGGCGGTCCCGGGGGCCTCTTGCGTATCTCGGGGGGCCTCTTGTGGCCTCTTGGGGGTCTCTTGGGGGCCTCTTGGAGGCCTCATGGGGGCCTTTTGGGGCCTCTTGGGGCTCTCTTGGGGCGCTCTTGGGGCGCTCTTGGGAGCCTTCGAGGCGCTCTTGGGGCCATCTTGGAGGAGATCTATCAAAGAAGGGGGGTTCCCCAATTAGCGCTGCCCCTCTAGAGTGCCTCGAGTCGCCTCTTGGCCCCCCCAAGAGGCCAAAATCCTTCCAAAACCGGGGTAAAATCAATGTTTGTTGCTTTCTCGCCTTTTCGCTCTTGGAGCCGTCTTGGGTCATCTTGGACTCTCTTGGGGCCTCTCGGGGGTCTCTTGGCAACGTCTTGGAGGCTTCTTGGGGGCCTCTTGGGGTCTCTTGGGGCCCTCTTGAGGCGCTCTTGGGGCGCTCTTGGGAGCCTTCGGGGCGCTCTTTGGGCCATCTTGGAGGAGATCTATCAAAGAAGGGGGGTTTGCTTATTAGCCCCGCCCCTCCAGAGTGCCTCGAGTCGCCTCTTGGGCCCCCCCAAGATGCCAAAATCCTTCCAAAACCTAGGTAAAATCAATGTTTTGTGTTTTCTCGCCTGTTCGCTCTTGGAGCTGTCTTGGGCCATCTTGGACGCTCTGACACCTCGCGACCGGCCCCGTCCAGGTCAGTGGGGAGGGGTAAGGGGAGGGGTAAACCCCTCCCCGAAGGGGAAGAAGGGGGTTGGCAGAGGAAACTCCCTAGACCACCTACGCCCTAAAGGGCTGGTGGGATTGCATATCATCCGCCTCCTTGTTCATTTCCCCCTTGAACGCATATCGCCCCAGCCCGGAGTTCCCCCCCCCCCCCGCCCCTTCATGTCCGACAGCAAATGTTACGCGCGCGCGCTCAAATTCTTCGATCACTCAACTTCCCCAAAGGATTTCAAAATCGAGAGCCGCGAACATTGTCTCTGAGAAGAAGATGAAGAAGCCGTACAAAAAGGGGCTTCAAAACAAGAAGAAATAAACCTGCGCCTGCGCTCTTGCGAATGCTTAAGAAAAGAATCGCACAGACATTTTCAACGATGCTGCCAAGCGAGCCATTCGCGCGCGCATGCCAGAACCGTTCGGAAACCCATGCACGCGTGCTGTCGCGAGGATCCCTTGCAAACAACATGGGGCGACGCGCGCACGCGCGCGACTCGTCGCGCGCGCATGCCGCAATCCTGGAAAACCTTTTCTTTATTAGTTGTCGCAAGGATTTCAAAGATATAGGCACGCATGGTTTGCAATACCAGTTTTCACAGAAGCTTGCGTTCGTGGTATTGCGGATTCGTTAGAAAACCAGAATTTGACCAACATGTTCATCAAATTATGCCGGACGGGCCTCTCGCGCCGCAAGTCGAACTCATTCGCGCGCCCTTGCGCGCGCGCTGGGAGGGAGAGGGGGCGGGGGGGGCGAGCCGCGTCAAATAGTACCTCGCGGGCTTCTGGCGCGCGTTAGCCGCGCGCGCACGTCGAACTCCTTCAAAAGCCTGCGTTGCCCAACATCGGCGCCGTCATTGGCCTTGCCGTCGTCATCGCCACCGTCGGCACCGCCATCGCTACTTTCATAATCGCGCCCACCGTCGTCGGCATCATCATGATGCCGCGCCCACCCAAGTCACCGATTCGAACTGAAGTGCCCGCTGGAAAGTGCCCTGCGCTCAGCGCCACCGAAGCCGCGTCGGTCGCGCCAAACTAGCTGGCCCCTGTGCGCGCGAGCATGCGTGGGCTAGCGCGGCCGCAGGGATGCACCAGCCAACGCCAAGCACTCATCGCAATCTCAGCCGCACGGGTTTTGCAAACCAAATTGTGGATGGGTGGTTGGGATGGTTGCAAGAGCATGGGACTTGCCAGCGCGTTTATGAAAATCAATTGCACCACGTAGATTACACCACATATATATATATATATATTCTCTGCTGCCACAGCGAGTTAGGATCTACCACCTTCCCCCCGGGAGTTATCGGCCCAGCCTGCGGCAATGCAATGTACGAACGTTTCTGCCTAATCTTACAGCTTCCGTGTGAAGCCAGACCGTCCCAGCCTAACCGGGCTCGGCCCCACCCCCGCACCCTTGACAATTGATACTACGCGCGCATCCGTTCATCAACAACCACACATTTGCAATGATATTCTCCGAAAGCGAAACAGAGTCATCATGCGCGCGGGGTCGCGCGCGCTTGCCGGAATCTTTCAAAATCGTGTCAAGTTCCGCACGGATTTCACGATCGAAGTTCCCGAACACATTTGGAAACATAGATTGGAGAACACAAGGCAAGACAATGATTTTGAATCCTGGCTTTGGACAAGATAGCAGGCGCGCTTCTGCGCCTTCTTAAGAAAGCCATTACTCTCCAACGTGTCCATCAAATTCGACAACGCGGGCCTAGAGCGCGATGTCGAATTCATTTGATCGCTTTGGCGCGCTTGTGTGGTGTGGGGGCGCGAGGTCCTTGTCAAATAGCACTATGTGGGCCACTCGCGCCCGTCGGCCGCGCGCGCATGCCGAAATCATTCCAAAATTTTCACCACCGACACGTTGACACCATCATCGTCACCAGCATGACCACCATCGGCGCCGTCATTGGCTCCGCCGTCGTTTGAGCCACCATCGTCAACCGCATCGGTACTGTCATCATCGTGCCTGCTTCTATTGACATCGCCCTGATACCGCGCCCGCCCAAGTCACCGACTCGCACTGAAGTGCCAGCGCGTCATTGCGGCCTACTAGGCGCTCTGGGAAGACCGCAGCGGTCAGCGCCGTTGCGGCCGCGTCGGTCGTGCCAAACTAGCTGGCCACTCTGCGTGCGAACCTGCGCGCTAGCGCGGCCGCAGGGACGCCCCAACCAGCGCAGCGCCAAGCAGTCAGCGCAATCGTCGGCGCACGCGTTTTGCAAAAAAGCAGCGGCAGGGTGAATGACTTGCACCACGTAAATTGCACAAGACACATGCTGCCCAGGGCATAGGTTGGACAGCACATCGGTTGCACAAATCAGAATGTGCACCACATAGGTTGCACAACATTGGTTGCTAGAAACTCACTGTTTCGGGCCCACCGTGGCAGACTTATCGAACTACGTTCTTGCGCCCCACAGCCTACCCCACCATATATATATGGATGTACAGATGTATATATATATATATGTGTGTAGGCTTATATGTTTAGGTATCACACCCCACAGCTTGGGACTCACTCTGGCAAGCATGTTGGTTATGGTTTGGTTATGCTAGTTCCTCTCTCGCTCTCTCTCTCCCTGTCTCGTTCGTTTGATGTACCTCTCTTCTTCTCTCTCTCTCTCTGGTTCTCTCTCTCTCTCTCTCTCCCTTTATCTGCTTCTCTCTATCTCGCTCTCTTTGTCTGTCTCTCTCTCGCTCTCTCTCTCTCTGTCTCTCCCCGTTTTTTCTCTGGCGGCATTTCGCTCCACAGGTGCCCTGGCGCGGCGCCACGAGAGCGAGGGTCGCCATGGCCGCCATCACAATGGTGTCCCTGGGCCAGGGGGGGGAGCAGGGAGAAAAAGGAGGGAGGGAGGAGGGTGAAGACGACGTTCAAATATAGTTTTGTTACGTATTTGCCCCGCCTCTGGCATCGCTTGTGTGTCCCTGGGACCGTCGAGAATCGATCCGCAGTAGACACCTCGCAAGGATGTGCCCATGGGGCGGTCGGGGGTCCAATTCTGAACGTCTGAACGGTACTTCGGGCTTGGGGAGGGAGGAAAAGGAGGAGGACGAGGGGGAGCAGGAGGAGGAGGAGAAGGAGCTAGGAGGAGGAGGAGCTAGGAGGAGGAGGAGCTAGGAGGAGGAGGAGGAGGAGGAGGAGGAGGGCAGGAGGAGGAAGAAGAGATGTCCTCGAGGTGGCTCTATGGCAGGGTCGGGGAGCCCAGCGTCGACGCTGGACGGCCCGCATCTCCCCCCCCGACCTCCTGCCCCTCCCCTCTGTAAAGGCACAGTCAGGCCGAGCGGCCAGGCAGGCGCAGCGTGAGGCGGATTGTCGTGGATCGGATCGTGCAGCCTCGCCCCCTGTTCTTGCTTGCTTGCCCGCCTCTGCTCTCTCCTGCCTTGGTAACCAGGAGCAGGGGGGGAGGAGGAGGAGGAGGAGGAGGAGGAGGAGGAGGAGGAGGAGGAGGAGGAGGAGGAGGAGGCGGAGGCGGAGGCGGAGGCGGCGGAGGAGGAGGAGGAGGAGGAGGAAGATGTACGGATGGTATTTTCGGAAGTCGTCAGAGGGATTCGGGGGTCCGCGGAGGTCTTTGTGACGCCCCACGCGTGTTCAAACCTGTGCTGCAGTCGGCTTCCCAGCTTTATTGCGAAGACCTTACGGCCAGTGCCGCCGACCCTGAGAACGACGAAGATGAAAACGAGGGGGGGCAGGGGGAGGAGGATGAGTGGGAGGTGGAGGAAGGGTGGAGGAGGTGGATGAGGGAGGAGGAGGGGGGAAAAGGATGTGGAGGAGAAGCAAGAGGAGAAGGAGGAGGCAGAGGAGAGCAAGAGGAGGGGGAGCAGAGGCGGGGGGGGAGGAGGAGGAGGAAGCGGAGGAGGCCAGAGGCTTTCTTGCGACAGCCTGGGGCTCTCTTGAGGCCGTCTTGGGCCGTCCAGGGCTCCTCTTGCGCCGTCTCGAGGCACTCTTGGAGGCCTCCTGGGCAATTTGGGGCTCTCCTGGGCTGTCTTGAGACAGTTTGGGGGCCCCTTTGGAGCCTCTTGGGGCCCCTTCGGGCTTCTTCGGGGCCTCTTGGGGCTGCGAGCTCGAAATGTCCGTTCAAGTCACCGTCTGGGCACTCTCCTGGAGCCGTCTTGGGGGCCTTTTGGGCCGTCTTGGATGCATCTTGGGCCGTCTTGGGGCCCTCTTCGGCCGTTAGGAGACCCTCTTGGGGGCCTCTTGGCCCGTCTCGGGGAGAATTGGGGGCCTCTTGGGCCGTCTTGGCGCGTCGGGAAGCGGAAGAGGCCAGAACGCTAAAATCTTTCAAAAACGTGTGGGAAATCCATGATTTGTGCCTCTTTGGGGGGCCTCCTGGGGCGCTTTGCAGGCTTCTTGGGCCGTCTGGAGGCCGTCAAGGCGTCTTGGACAGATCGTTCGTTCTCCTGGACTGTCTTTGGGGCCTCTTGGGGCACTCTTGGCCCGTCTTGGGTCTTTTTGGGGCTCCGGGACTCCCAGGGGGGTATCTGACCCCCTCCCCCCGGGAACCTCTCCCGGGACCCCTCCCGGGGCCCGCCCCGTGGACCACCGACCCCCCTGGGCGGGGGAGGGATCGAAGGGAAGGGACTTCCCTTCGTTGGCTGGCGCGCTGAGGAGGTCCCTGGGAAAGGGGGGAGCTTCGACGAGCCCAGGGAAAGGGGGGAGGCAGGGAAAGGGGACGACAGAGACGACGATCAACGAATGACAGAGATGACGACTTGAACGGACAAACCCCTCACATACGCCGACAGGGTCGGCGGATTTGAGTTTCTGGAGGGGAGGGGGGGGAGGGAAGGAGGAGGAGGAGGGAGGAGCAGGAGGAGGAAGGAGAAAGGGAGGGAGGAGGAGGAGGAGAGGAGGAGGAGGAGGAGGAGGAGGAGGAGGAGGAGGGTTGTTGGGGACGGGCCTGAAGCCAGATCACCTCCACGTTCAGCCAAAATCGGAAGCCTCCGAGTCTGACTCGAAACCGCAGTTCGAGGCTCGGAGGGAGGCGGCGCCTAGGTCCTTGACCCAGGGTAAATCCGACTCAGCAAGGCCGAACGAATCCAAGACCTGCTCTCGCGGGGCGAAGCCCACCGCGGAGCCGACAATTGCGGGACCTGAAACTCCCTGGGGGGCCTGGCCATCCTCTTCCAGCGACTGAGCCAAGACCCTCCGCTCGGCGAGGCTAAGGCTCACGTGAGCCCCCAGAGTTAAATTCTTCAGGTCCTTCTTGTACGAGGGAAACTTGCCCTGCCGAATCCTTCTCAGCTGGTCATTAATTCCGCCCGTCGTCGATTTGGGCCTGCACAGGCCTTTAGCTCCAACATTGGGAGCCCCAGAGAAAAACGATCCACACCGACAACAAAACTGGATCCTACCCCTGGGGTTTCCAGGAGGTTCCAAGACGGGGCTGGCCAAAAACGCATGACCGCTGGCCAGAAAAACTTGCCGAGAGAATGACCGCCACTCCTCCCCCAAGTCCGAAGAACCTCCCACCTCCCTTTGATCGTCGGCCAGGGCCTGGCCGTGGGCATCATCGTCTTGTGAGTGCTGCCACTGGCCATCGCTGCCTGTCGACCTGGGCACAAGGCCCGTTGAGTCACGGGGCCCGTTGGACATCAGCACCTCGACCGATCCAGCCCACCTGCAGGCCTCGCGGGCGAGGCACCTGAGGCCTCTGTACAAGCTGGCCTCATCGTCGCTGACCCCGTGACACTCAGCTCCTAATTTGGCGAACTTATCTGCGAGCCCATTGGCCCGTCTTTCCCAAACACTGCTTCTGCCAGCCTCGACGTCGGCCGCAGTGGCGTGGCCGAGCGTCTTGTAACACTCGAAATCGCTGAGAGTAAACGAGCTCCACACGGGGCCCCACAGATGACCACGGGGGGCTCCAGGGCCCTCCGCGAACCCAGGGCCCCGAGCCAGCGAATCCAGAGTGCTCTGGCAATCAATATAGCATTGAAACGGGGGAAGACCTACTTGCGTAAGCATATATACAGCATAGTCTTCCCCGTCTTTACTAGTTTGCTGCGGGGCCGCACTCAGAGGAACTGGACCGTAGGCCGCCGAGATCAACTCCCCAAACCTGTCGACCGACACGATACTCCAACCAGCCCGAGTGAGCCCATCGAGGCCCATGTATTTAGCCGACCCGTCCAGGAAGAGCAACCCCGTCAATAGCCCCGTCTCGGGCCTCTCGTGCCAGTGAACAGTTTGCGTGGGCTCCTCTACGTCGAAGAGCGAGCGAGGGTGAGGAAAGATGCACCTCGCGAACCTCTCCGCCATCAGCGGCCCGAACTGCTTCACTCTCTGCGCACACCTACACAAGTGAACACTCGCATGGTCTCGCCGCAGGACTTCATGCGCAGGGCACTCGTACTGACGGTGCCACAACGTACCTGGGGCCCCCTTGCACACTTGACACTGATCATCATCGTGAAGGTTGTGAGCATGAAGTCGGGCTTGGGGCCAATGAACTCCCGAGACCAAACCTCTTAAACATCTCTGATGGTGCTTCCCCCAGGCTTCAGACTTCTCCCTGAACAACCTGGAAATACCAGCCCAGAAGATAGGGTACACAGGTGGCCCATCAAGGCCATTCTGCAAGTGAAGGGCATGTCTGTCTGACGCTCGCGCAGCACCTTGCCTGATCATAGTCCTGACCTGCATCGGGGAGAGCCTGAACAAGTCATGCACCACATTCAAGTCATCCTTGATGGTGTGCTGGTCTACAAAGTCCCAGCCTATGCCCCGCAACGTTAAAAGCGCGACGTCGCTGGGGGAAGACGCTGACCTCCAGGGCTGAGCTGAATTCTGAAACTTGGCGATCGAGACCCTCATGGTATTGGCCAACACCTGAACGTGAGGGACAGCTTCCCAAACTGCAGTAGCCCACATGAAAAGAACGTGCCCCACGTAAACCACCAGAGGGTCTACCTTGGCCCCTAGCCCGTACGTGTACATCCTGAGCCCAACCGAAGCACCTCTTGGGAGCCTGCCTAGGGAACTAGCAGCACCAATACGGAGCCCAGCCATTTTTGCGGGGGCCACCCCAGAGACCGAGGATCCCCAGAGGGCCGATGCCACGGGCCCCATCCTGTGAACCATACCGATGTCGGCTCCAGCTCCTTGCAATATCTTGAGCCTCCTGGCCCTGCGCGATGCACCAGCAAACCTTGAGTTTTGAATTCCAATCCTGCGGAGGCCTCCCAAGGTAGCGTTGGTCCCAAGATTCCGCGCCGTGTCGGTGCGGCAAGAGGTGGGGAGGGACCAGGCCTTGGACAGGTGCGCCCCAACCTCCTTCGAGCAAAGGTAGGCACACTTCTTAAACGCCACAGGAAGCTGCAGCTGCTTGAAGCTCTTGATCAGAGACTCTACTCCACCAGCCAGTTGGGCCGCCACCTGATGCTTGGGCCCGCAACACTGAACAGTGATGTCGTCCACCACATTGCGCACATACAACAAGTTCCTGCTCTCACGGGCCTCCAAGAGCGGTCCTAGTAGCAACATCTTGGCGAAAGTCGCGGCCCCCGAGCACCCAGCTACGATCGCCCCGTTCGATTCGACGACGGCCGACGAAGCTCCCCCGTAAAGAAGCACACGGTAGCCTGCATAGATGGTACAGTAAGCTTTGACCAGCCTAACTGGGAAACCAAACCGTTTAGCTGCAATCAGAAGGTCCCCGTGGTTAACATTCTCATAGAACTTAGCCAAGTCCAAGAGAGCCGACGCTGATTCGAAACCTGCTTTGCGACAATGGGCCCCGAGCAAGTTGTGGACCCATCCAGCCCTCTCGCACGTAGTGTCGGGCCCAGAGCCCCAGAAAAACTCGTGCACGTGGGACTTTTCCCATGAGCGGCAATACGGCTGCCTCAAACGGCTCCAGAGCTTCATGAAAAGGCAGAGCAATCCGATCGGCCTGACCCCTCCCGTCGGTTTGTCCAAGAAAACCACGTTGGTCAGGAACACCAAGAAGGCCCCAGGGTCAACCTCGAAGAGCGTCAAAATCTCCAGAAGCCGAAACTGGTAACTTTCGGGCAGCTGCAATACCCACCTCGGGTGAAATCCATCCCAGCCTAGGCCCGCCGCGGGCCCGTACATCCTGCAAACTCGGTGTAAATCCTCCAGTCTGAGCGGGGAAAGGGCAGGCTCGTCGGCAGGAACTTCCCAGGAGCTCAGTGCTGGCCCGCGGCCAGCTCGAAACCACATCGGATGCCACGCATCGACAAGCTCTTGCACTGCGGCCTGACCAGCCACTGGAAGCCGAGGATCATCTGACATACCTCGCGAAAAAACACTCGAGACCTGTTGCTTGGAGAAGGCATGAGCCGCTTTACCACCTCCAGAGACGGCACTCTTGGCCCATTCCTTCCACTTTGCCAGCAGCGAAGCCGCGTCCAGCCTCTGGCGACGAGTGCACTCTTTGCAGATGGCCCCATTGACGTCGTCGTTCCAAGATCCTTCACCCGATGCCGCCATAACGATGGTGTGCAGCTGGGCCTTGGTGGGCCCCTCTTCAGTCAGCTGGAGGTCCTCCAAAATGTCGAACAGCTTAAGCTTCCAGGATCCCAAAAGAGCTCTCCCCTTGGCGCCTGGGTTCCCAGCACTGATAGCTTTTGCCTTCTTGAGCAGGGCCTCGAACGAGATCCAGCAG